AACTTTTTTATGGATAAATTCAGACTAAAAAATTATGTAATGTTTAATCTGGAGATAAAGTACTTAGCTATATGCTTGTGATTGCGACAGTTTATTCTCTCTATATAATAACTGTACCGAACTTTATATATGCAAAAGATTCATTAGTTGGTCAAAGTGTTGCAAATTTTTACTAGAAGATTAAGTTGAGTCAGTCAGTTGACAAAATCTGGAAGTAACAGTGCATTGTGAGACTTTAAAATTAATAGTATATTTATCTCTGCCTACAGAATATTTACCATTCAAATTAGAGTACATGTACATATATTTCGTTTCCCACGAATTGTTTCTGTTGTACATGTTAAAAAAAATATTAATCAGACTTCAATTTCATGATCAGCGAAGAAGTTGTTATTCTGTTAAAAGAGGAAGTCACGCTACTCATTAGAGTTCACAATAATATTGATTTATTTCTATTCGTGTTAAGTTCAATCACAATTCCTCATGAAATGTTTTAGTTTGTTTGAGAGACGTAAATGTAAAATGCGACTTACAGAGAAAGCGAGTGACTATCTAATCATTTTAATAAAATTATCTATTGAAAAATAGTTTATGTGTAAAAAGTTAAGTTAACGGACATTGATCAATCTCAGAAATCCTGTAACAGACCGAATCGTGAACAAAAGCAGAAACAACGACCCCTGGAAACATTTAAGCGACGTAGGATCAGGTGCCTAAGAGGAGAAAGCATCCCTTGTCGACCGATTACACCTGCCGTGAGCTCTATGTTTTGATCAGGTAAACGGATTAACTCTTAATCAAAATTGGTTAAAAACAATGGGTAACAATTACCAGGAAACATGTCAATCAAAATAAGCCCTAACGATTGGTGGTATGTATAAACAAAGTAAGTCACTAAAACGAAGGTAGAAATTGCGAAATGTTTACTTTTAACGAGATCATGAAGCCCTGTAACATCAACTTATTTGCCATTAGCCTGGCTGTCACTGTTGAAAATTTTGATCGTTCTCGTAACTTGTGTATCGCATCAGTTGGGTGACATAAACACCATATGCAGGCATAAATAAGAGAAGTTGACGATGGAAATGCTGAAGTCATTCCGTTTGTCATATATTTTACTTGTTAGTTGGACATAAACGTCTACATACGTTAGTAATCAGTCCATAATCAATAAAACATCTAAATATAAAACAAATGTGACAGACTCTGTGGTGTCTTTTATTTGAATATATCGAATCAAAATAACTATACTCAAATTATGTCGAATTTAAAGCCAAAACAAGAGTTTTCTTCTTCTCACGAAGTCTTTGCATAAATTCTGCTTCACAAGAATTTAAAACAGATTTGCAAATAAAGGAGCACAGTTAATGCCAATCGATTTTCCAAATGGTTGTTGGAAGACCTGGTCTTCAAAGACCACATATACATGTACATGTAGATATTGTCAATAAAGAACTCCATCATCTTTTAAATATCAACATCAGTGTACTTTTGTCAAGAACCAGAATGATTTTTAACAAAGGAATTTTGTAGATGATCTATATTTCCGATTTCCATTCTTACTGAAAATGCATATAATAATAAATAAGAGTTTACAGGTCTTCATTCAGAAAGCAAAAACAAAGATATTTATTTATAGTTTAATTCCTGTACGACTTTACAAAATACATGTACATGTATCTGAACCCAGATTTAAATTGAGTTTTGGATATGCCATGATTTGTGATTAGTGATCTTTCTCTCTCTTTTTTTTTATCATTTACATGTTACTCAAAAAAGAATACAATCACATCGATCCCTCCCCAATTAAACATTCCAACACTTGGTTTGGCGCCTTGTCCACCTCCTATACCCTGTAGGTTGTGATGAAATATGTGATTTCCCTGTCATATATTCAAAGTTTTACACATACGTGTATATATAACTAGAAATAAAAACCAACACTTAGATAAGGAGAAAAAATGTCAGAGCTGATAATGGTTCAGAAGAAATGAAACCCGCGTTTTAATAACATTAATTGGTGCTGCGAGAAATTGGAAGAAGTCTTACGTGAATAATAAAACGACTTGATTGGAACACGGGATTATTTTGCTTGAAAACAGGGACATTAAGTACGACTTAGTAAGATGAAATCTATTAAAACCTTAGACATGCTAACTTATACAAGAAACTACGGAATCAACAGGCTTACACAAGATACATGTATATCAAATATACATATTGATAACGGACGTTTCATGTGCATTTGAAATATTAAAATAATGATAATAATAATAATAATAATAAAATATATAATAAAAAATAAATGAAATAAATCTTTAAAAAAAAATGCTATCATACGGTATTATATTTAGGACATGCAGATATTATATATATTAACGATATTTCAAACACTGAGTATTAAGTATGTAAAATGTAATTATAAGGAATGTTATTAAGTTTAGTGTGAATTATTGGTAGCGCGCTTCATGAAATATGCCTTCGTGACAGGGATGGGGTCAATTACTTTAAAAAGTAATTAATTAAATTACAATTACTTTGACTTTTTCTTCAATTAAATTACAATTAAATTACAGGCTTTCTAAGACATGTAATTAATTAAATTACAATTACTTTGCAAAAGTAATTAATTAAATTACAATTACATTTTTAATTTTTTTGAAAATTTTTATAACCCTTGTCAATGAATATACAGAACATCATTTATTTGTATATAAGCTCAGCCTCTGACAAACAGTACAAGAAATATTATGCTATAGGCATTGTGTATCATTCTGGTTTAATTTATAACATTTATTTACAAAACAATAAGAATCTCTTAAAGAACTATCCGAGATCAGTTTGATGCAGTTTCCACCACACAAAACCTACGTGTACATAAATTGCATGGCTTATGATATTTGATTGAAAGTGAGTATTTTAATAGAGTGATATGAGTCGCAATCTCAATTAAATTAAATATTTCCTTTGAAGGTAACCTGAACATCCTAAATTGCTATTTATGTTGAACAATTTTACTTCATAAATCAGAATTGTACAGATAGAACATTCATTCATAAAAATCTGTTTAGATGTTAAAATAATTAATATCAAATTGAAAGTTTTTCTTTTCTAAAGCTAGCGGAGCATTTTAAATTGAAATAATTATCTCCATTGGCTTTGTCTTCTAAATCATGGAATGAATATCTCTTTAGAGGAGTTGATTTGTTTTGATTGCAATTTAAAGCTGTGATCTGGAGGGCAATTATCTCTTCCTAACAAGAGAGAACTTAATTAATGACACACACCTTCTTTTTCTTTAATATTGATCAAACAACAAAGATTGAAATAAAATAAATGTGTGTTTCATAGCTGAATAGACCTAAGAAGGGTGGTTCAAAACTCATATTTATAAACATAGATAAAAGAAATCAAAATTTACATAATGATTAGAAAGAAACTAGTTTATTAGTATCAAGTCAATCATTTAATTATTTTTTGTAAGCATAATTAACCTAAGGTTTTGTATAATTGAAGGATTGAGGATATGTTTAACAATAAAATAAAAACCAGTAAAATGGGGAGGTAGTGGTGACGATATATCATGAATATATCACGAATGTGTATTATATAAAGTAATTGAATGTAATTGAAAAAGTAATTGAAATTACATGGTATTTTTTCAGTGTAATTAATTAAATTACAATTACAAGTAATTGAAAAAATGTTCAATTACAAATTACTTCCAATTACTTCAAAAAATGTAATTAATTACAGTCAATTACAATTACTTTTTTCAATTACCCCATCCCTGCTTCGTGACAAGTCTGTGTGATTTATTCACACTATTAACTCACACAAAACTTAAAACATTCCTTAAATATATAAAATAATTTCACTTAAAATTTATTAAAGATATCCTTGGAGTGCGCTGCAGAACATCCAATGCAGGTTTTCTAGCAGAACTTAAAAGACTACCACTTTGGTCTAAAATTTCATTCTCGAGTATTAAATATTGGAATCACCTGAAAACTTCTGTTTCTTTGGGCTTTTAAACTTTACCAATCCAAAAGTAACAGTAATTCTTCGATTAAAAAATATTTTTCTATTCTAGATAATCTTGGATTTTCAATCATTTCAAAATATAAAAGTTCAATGCAACACCTTTTACCCAACATAAAACAAAGAATCATTGACCAGTGCACTCAGGAGCAAACATAAAAAATCTCTAGTTCAGAAAAACTTGAATTTTATTAAAAAAAAATATACACAAGAAAAAGAAATCCATATGTTGATTTACTCAGAAAAAGATCTGGGAGATTCTCTCTTAGTAGAATTAGATTAAGTACACATAAACTTGCAATAGAAAGTGGTAGATAGAAGCGAAAGGTGTTGTATACTGGTGTGAGTGAGGATGAAATTCATTTTCTTTTTTAATGTAAATCTTATTCTAAGCTAAGAAACACATAACTTAGAAATATTTATAATATAACAAAGAAAAATATTAATCCGGACAATGAAAGATACATGTTAAAAGTATACGTAAATAGTGATATACATAAAGTCTTCAAAATTACTGTGAATAAATTTATAAGAGACTGTTTTGAACATAGAAGTCAATTACTTAATACTACATAAAAATTATGTAAAAATTATCTAATTCTGTTCAATGAGCATTTGCCAATTATTGTAATTGTGTTTGTGCCAATAAATATTTGTATTTGTATAAACAGCTCATAAAACAGACTTTAAAAAAAACAAAAAAACAACAACAACAAAAAAAAAAACAAGAACACATGCAGATGCTAGACGATATAAATAAATAATATTTTAAATAAAAAAAAAACCTGCTTTGAATTAATTTTTTTCTAGTGTCATTGCATACTGAGAGGTCTTGTGGATAAACGAGATAATCGTACAATGATTTTGAAAAAATACAAATACTCACTTTCCATTCTTCTACAATTTGGATCGGGCTCGGTGTCATCTTTACGCAACTAGGCCTACCCTTTCGGCGACAGTTAGTGAGTTACACAAGGATTGAAGGAAAGCCGAAAGGTTGCACTAGACTGTGAAAACTGAATTTTGAAGATAGTTAAAAGAAAAAAAATGTCTTCTTTGAAGCAGGTAATTTTTATAAGTATTATTACATCTGTGCAACTACCAGCTCGATATTGAAAGTGCAATTTCGAATTGCCTCTAATGTTCGAACTTTGAACCCCAAAAACATGAAAAACCAATGTCTTCACGGTCCAGTCTATGAAATTTCTAACACTATAAATGTAAATGAGCATAATGTTATTATTTTTGAGCTACGCAGTATACTGGTGTCTCATAGTATCGCGGTATTTATTTCTTTTGCTTAAAAAAGTTATTCCAAATTCTTACATTAACTTTTCACCAAATACTATTCATAAACCTATTAATGGCCCAACTTTTCAGTGGCTAATTATTTTCTAAGCTTTCTTCGTTTACTTTGTATTCTATTTTTATAACAGGAAGTCTTATTTACCTTCAAAAGTGGAGAGTCTCTTTGTATCGCGGTATTGAAAACATGAAGGTTTGGCACGGTCACAAAGTACAATTTTTATTTTTTAAATTTATGATGTAAATCTACATGAAAACTTAAGTATAATACAAACTTAAGATTTTCAAAATATGAACTTTATTATGGATTTTACTTGGTCATATATTCAATGGTCTAAATAAAATAAAAATGGGAATGGAAATCTGTAAAATTTCGTTTTATTTGAATAAATATTTTTCCAACGGGTGTTCCATACTTTTTAATCATCACAAAAGTCAACATTCAGACGACAGACAGATAGCCCATCAAAAAAAAGGATATGAGCTATGTATCCTAATTTTTGGGAAATACCGCGATACAATGGAACCCGCTATATAATGAGAATTACGGATACAGTTAAGGTGCACAATGGAAATATCGGCGATTTTTCATGTTACAAAATATATTCTTTTTCAGGATGGCGATTCTTTTTTGTACTTTACAGTGATTTTTATACACCCAATTTAGGTCCAAATCGGCCCTTTCCCCTATCAAAAATTACCAATTTTTTCCCAATTTTAGTTGCTTTTTCCCCCCAGAAAAACCATTATTGACTTTGTTATATTGAATTTTTTATGTACGACTTATCTAAATTGGAACGCTATTGCTCTCGGTCATTCATACTCTTAAAATAATAGTGAAAAACAGCAGATCATTTTGTGCGTTTACAAGACATAGAAAAACACATGGATCATGTCAAACGTCAAACTAAATACATCGTAAGAAAGTGTAAGATGCATGTGAACAGGCGAAACATAGCTTTATTTGTAAATCCAAGAACTAGTAGTTCTACAACAAGCATCCCTGATTCCATGAAAATCAAACTGTTTCTACACCCGGCAGATGCAACTAATATTGCAGGGTAATTGCAGCACAATGATTAGGGTGATTTAGAAAGCTAGAAGAAAAATGATTTGTTTTAAATCATGTCAGATTATATCATCTTCAATGGCTATTATGAGTAGGATTTTTTTCTTATGTCTACCATTATGGCAAAAAAAAAAAAGAATTGAAATATAGGACGGTCACAACTAATGACAACTTTCAAAGATTAAAAAAAAGTTAAAAATGTAGAACTGTGTCTAATTTGTTATTTTGTAGTAAATATTTTGAATAAATGATGTTAAATTTACTTATATATTTTATTTTACCTGTCAATTAAGGTTTATTTCAATCTTATTGATTTTTCCCAATTTTACACAAATGTCGATGATTTTTAGCTCACCTGAGCTGAAGGCTCAAGTGAGCTTTTCTGATCACATTTTGTCTGTAGTCCATCTGTCCGTCCGTCCGTCTGTAAACTTTTCGACTTCTTCTCAAGAACCACTGGGCCAATTTCAGCCAAAGTTGCCACAAAGTATCCTTGGGTGTAGGGGATTCAAGTTTGTACAAATGAAGGGCCATGCCCTCTTTCAAGGGAGATAATAAAGAATTAGTGAAAAATTAATAGCATCTTTTAAAAATCTTCTTCTCAAGAACCACAAAGCCAGGGAAGATGAAACTCATGTGGAAGCATCCTCAGGTAGTGTAGATTCAAATTTGTTCAAATCATGACCCCCGTGGGTAGGGCGGGCCACAGTGGAGGATCAAAGTTTTACATAGAAATATATAGGAAAAACCTTTAAAAATCTTCTTCTCAAGAACAGCAAAGCCATAATGAGTCATATTTATATGGAAGCATCCTCAGGTAGTGTAGATTCAAGTTTGTTCAAATCATGACCCCCGTGGGTAGGGCGGGGCCACAATGGAGGATCAAAGTTGTACATAGAAATATATAGGAAAAATCTTTAAAAATCTTCTTCTCAATAACAGCAGAGCCATGATGAGTCATATTTATATGGAAGCATCCTCAGGTAGTGTAGATTCAAGTTTGTTCAAATCATGACCCCCGAGGGTAGGGCGGGGCCACAATGGAGGATCAAAGTTTTATATAGAAATATATAGGAAAAATCTTTAAAAATCTTCTTCTCAATAACAGCAGAGCCATGATGAGTCATATTTATATGGAAGCATCCTCAGGTAGTGTAGATTCAAGTTTGTTCAAATCATGACCCCCCGGGGGTAGGGCGGGGCCACAATGGAGGATCAAAGTTTTACATAGGAATATATAGGAAAAATCTTTAAAAATCTTCTTCTCAATAACAGCAAAGCCCTTATTGGTCGTATTTATATGAAAGCATCCTCAGGTAGTGTAGATTCAAGTTTGTTCAAATCCTGACCCCCCGGGGGTAGGACGGGGCCACAATGGAGGATCAAAGTTTTACATAGGAATATAAAGGAAAAATCTTTAAAAATCTTCTTCTCAGGAACAGCAAAGCCCTGATTGATCATATTTATGTGGAAGTATCCTCAGGTAGTGTAGATTCAAGTTTGTTCAAATCTTGACCACCCGGGGGTAGGGCAGGGCCACAATGGAGGATCAAAGTTTTACATAGAAATATATAGGAAAAATCTTTAAAAATCTTCTTCTCAGGAACAGCAAAGCCCTGATTGATCATATTTATGTGGAAGTATCCTCAGGTAGTGTAGATTCAAGTTTGTTCAAATCATGACCCCCTGGGTTAGGGTGGGGCCACAATGGAGGATAAAAGTCTGAAATAGAAATGTATAGGAAGATATCTTCTGATGAAGAACTGCAAAGCCATGATTAGTCATTTTGATTTGGAAGCATCCTCAGGTAGTGTAGATTCAAGTTTGTTAAAATGATGACCCCAGGGGATAGGGATGGGCTATAATGGGGGATCGAAAATTTTACATAGGATAGGAATATATAGGAAAATATCTTCTTCTCAAGAACTGAAAATCATGTTTAGTCATTTTGATATGGAAGCATCCTCAGGTAGTGTAAATTCAATTTTGTTCAAATGATGACCCCCGAGGGTGGGGTGGGGCCCAATAGGGGGATCGAAAGTTTTACATAAGAACATATAGAAAAAAATTTCTTCTCAAGAACAGAAAAGCTATGTTTAGTCATATTGATATGGAAGCATCCTCAGGTAGTGTAGATTCAAGTTTGTTCAAATGATGACCCCTGGGATAGGGAGGAGCCACAATGGGGGATCAAATTTTTACAAAGGAATATATGGGAAATTTTTTTAAAAATCATCTCAAGTACAACAAAGCCATTTGTTATATTGACATGGAAGCATCATCAGGTAGTTTAAAATTCAAGCCCCCCCCCATAATCTTTTCAATACTGAACTGATTTGTGCTTCTGCCTTGCCAATGTGCTCAAGTGAGCGATGTGGCCCATGGGCCTCTTGTTCCCAATTGTAAAGGCCCAGGCCCCTTTTAAAAAATGTAGAAAAATCACTGCTTTACTAATATCGGACAAATGTAATTATGGTTATTTACTACATATTGAGGACGATTAGATTTTCTATTTAGACTTGTCACTTGATGTGGCAGTCACGTGATTTTTGCACATATATACTTGCAGTATTGAGGTCACCTATAAATTGCAATAGTGCAAGGCCATAAACAAGTTAAGATTCGAAGTTTAATTTTTAAATAGTTTCAACACCCATTGTAGTTTATGAAAAGTGCTGTGATCCTATATAGATTCTACTATTTCATTGTTAAAATCATATTTGTATGAACGCATACTAAATTTTTTGCTGGTCAGCTTCATTAAATATAGAAATAATTAATTCAGTTTCAAGATTTCAACAGGATCGCATCACTTTTCAAATAGCTTAATTGTTATAGTGTTTATGTTTAAAAACTTGTCATGATCCATTGAGCAGGTCTGGGCATCCTCCGTTTTTGGAGGATAGCTAGATTCAATATGGCGGCCATTTTTTTTACCATATATGGAAACCGCATTGCATTGTGGGATAGTTTATACTCTGATTTTAGAGGATATCACAGGTAATTTTCAAAGGCCTGGTGCCTACCTTTAATCAAAAAGTGCAAGCACCAGAGTAAATGTAAATAAATTAAAGTTCAAACATTAAACTATCAATTGTATTTGGCGATTTGAGATTCTATGTCTAGATATTTTGCAATTTATTTTCAAAGTTGGCACTTTTGGCGATCCATTATTGCTGAATATTTCTTGTTATTCTGTGTTATTTTTTATGATTTTTCACTACTTAGACAAATAAAAAAAAAGGACTTTGATATTTCTTCGATATTTTCTTTTAATTCAAAAATGGAGGACAAAAGGAAACATATTTTAAGTGTATTTAAAACGCAAAATATAATCTGCGTTATGATTTCAGCAATCAAAACTATAATTAAAATGGATTGAATGAATAATTATAAAAATAAATAATTTGAATAGCATAAATAAATAAAATAATAATTTATCGTGTTTAAGAAGAAATTAACATATATTCATACAGCCATGTTTACACATAAACAAATAAAATATTACAAAGTGATGTTCTTATGAATTATTTAATGAAAGAAATAATAAATGATTAAATTTAATTTTTCAAAAAAAAAAAAAAAAAAATTGATTGTCAAAATTTCTAAACTGCTTATCACATAATTACGTTACTTGAAAATAAGTGTGGTTATAATTAACCTCAGTCATGGGCAGGTAAGAGTTACTGTA